TTTGTTATTGTTTCATCAACGAACTTATCAGTGATATATCAATCAAAAAATATCACGCGTGTGGCCAGTAACTAAAGGAGATATCTGGCATACAGCGGTAAACAGACTTATGGTACCAACCCAAAAACCGCAGAGAGAGAATTGTTTGTGGAATTTAAGCATCAAGCCACTGCTCCCTCAAGCTATTTACAATTCCAGTATGGCCAAAGACTCCCTGGTTTGTCTCCCTAACAGCAAAACCAACAAAACAATGCCTTCATCCCAGTCTTTCTCAATCTTAAACAGTAGGTCCTTATCAGTTCCTAAGAGTCTGAAGGAATCTCTCTTGAGTTCCCGGCCGCCGGGAGAGCGGAAGGTCGCGGGTTTGATCCACGACCGCGTCATACCAAAAGACGTAAAAATATTGTACTTGTTGGTCCCTGCTTGGCGCTCTGCCTTAATGGGTACAACACGGACTGGTCGGCTCGGAGTCAGTGTAATGTGTCTGAGTGGGGTATTCATGCTTCACTGCGGCATGGTATCTCAGTGGGCTAGCACTATAAAACCAGGGCTAGTACAAGCAGCCGCACATACACATACACACGCATGCACGTCGTCATATGAGCGAAATATTCTCAAGCACGACGTTAAACCCAATTTCACCACACCTCATCTTGAGTTCCCGGAGATTCAACAAAATGATAGGCATTATACTTAACCTGAGTTATTCCTACATGAAATTGGACCTTGATCTGTCTGTACCATTTGGCACACATGACAGGTTTTGAACGATTCAGCCACAACATGCAGAAAATGTGATGGGACAAAATTGTGCTCACATCCAAATGACCTACCAATGGAGTTTCATTTGCCAAACTAAAAAAATATCTGATGTGTTTTGGCAACACATATACAAAGCTGGAGATTTGTAAGTCGCAATCAGAAAACGTTTCAAAATGTTTACACTGACATTTGGAAAATATTCCCAAAACATCAGGTGTGATCTTTCTTTTGTACGTCAGCTTACTATTGCAGACTCTGATTTCGAACAGATTAACACTGGCTTACGAAGGCTCTTGAGAACTGTTTAAGTAATAGGAACCTTACTTATTCGATAAAATCCACTTGGCGTGGACAAAACTACACATTCTTACATTGAAAACAAACAGTGGTATGGGAGTTCAAAGCAAACTACAAACAATATTTTAATCCCTAATCCAAGTCTCCAGCTGTACAGGAACAAGAAAAGCCTTTTAAAAGGCAACGTTGGAGGCACCTGAGTGAAATACGAAATTTAGTGAGAAGGACGTGAGATCAATTGGGGATTGGGTACGATGACCATACCTTGTCTATTAGAGACTTGCTACCAATAGAGATTGGTACTCGCATCGCATATACCGTACTCTTATCTCCAGTATATGACATTTCAAATAAAAGGTCTTTGTTATGTATAACCATGTCTGGAAATGAATATTGCTTCTATATACTGCTTCTATTTTATGGCGTATGGTAACGAGTCATCAGCAGATGACATATCCCTCGGCCCCGCTATTTGCAAAAGTCATGTGAATTCTACCCCTTCGAAGAAATTCACCCATGTGAATGTAAATCCTGAGTGCAAATCCAACTCGTTTCCATGGAAACGAAAACAAACCCAACATTTTTCAGAAATCTGAAAATATCAAAAGGCACCACTTCAGTACTTGGGTAATGCAAAGTAACAAAAGATATAATGAACTTTGTTTTAGTTCTGTTCCGGAAATGAACCCACCATGTGCTGAGTCCAATGCAAATCCAACTCGTTTCCATCGAAAAGCTAATGGTGCTACTAAAATGGAATGGATTTTCCGATTCTGCAATTCCAAGTTATGCACTGAACTGGTACAAATGGTGTCTATTACGTGTGAAATTGTTTTGAATTGAGAGTGTTTCAGTTTGATCAGTAAAAACACAGACACAGACAGAAAACTCGATTTCCACATTAACTATGAGGTAAAGCGAGACAGTTATTTCGGATTACCCACATGGTCACGTGGCTCCTAATTTGCTACAAGTTCATTGGTCATTTGGAATTGCCAAAATCCGACGAGACGAAGTATCATTGAATACTCCAAGTGTATAGTGTATTAAAAACTTCACCTGAGAGAAAATTTCAGCCTGATTGAAAGGTTGGAGGCGTTGTTACCCAAGACATGCCAGTGTGCCACTTGAGAAACATTGCCAAGCTTCGACCATACCTGACAGGATCTGCAGCTGAGAAACTAGTTCTGTCTCAAAACTCATCTCTTCAGCGATGCCCTCCACTGCCCAAATTGCTAGCGCACAGAGCATAACAGACTGGCTGCTGTGCATTATCATCATCATCATCATCGTCGTCATCATCATCGTTCAAACTACTTGTGTCACTATGATTAAAGCTCTGCCTGTTTGAGTATGATAAATAAATCGGATTTTTTACCATATCAACCATGGTCATTTTTTCATCTTTTGCTCGATCAGTGTGATCTCACCATGAAATCTACTTTCGCTTTCAGGCACAATGGATGCGAACAGGACACAGACTATCAGCCGTGATGCAGACCGGCCTTCGACAGAGTATGGACTGAAAGAACTGTGGATTGAATTCCGCCAGTCTACAGGCCTTCATGCTGTTGATAAGATTAAACATCCTTCACTCAGCCCATTTACGATTCGCGGGTAGGTGTGGCTGTGTTTAACACGTACATGCCGAACTTTATATCATGGTAAATGATCAAGACAAACCAGTCTTATAATTATATTCATATGCACAATGTAATACTGATATGTACATGTGAGATTACTTTTAAAGGCTTTCCGTTAGGAAATATATATTTTATGAATTTCTACTACCGAAAAGAAAAAAAGATGTAATGGATCTACTGAACCATTTCATAAGGTAATAATATCTTAAGAAAATTAAACAGTATCATCGTTTTAATTAGTATCAGCTGTATACATAGCAAGCACGTGTCATAATAACATTGCATATTAACATCGGTTGTGTTGTGTTTGTGTCACATTCCATCCAAAACGAGAGAACAGTGACGGAGGCAAACGCTGCCCTTGCCTTACTCCACCGTCGATCGCACTCATGATAATACAATATCATAATATTTTGCATTGAGTCTTTAATAGCACTCCTTAATTTTATCCAATTGTCAAGCTCTCCATACAATATGTGTTTGATGTTTTTTGTTTTTGTTGTTTTGGGGGTTATATTTTGTTTTGTTGTTGTTTTTGGATGGGTGGGGGGATTGTCTATATTTTGATGTTTGTTTTCTTTTGTTGTGATGTTGTGTGAAGTGTTTTGGATGTTTTTGTAACGTTGATGAAAACATATATGAGGAAATGCGTCTACGAACCCAAACATGTTTAGATTGTTACATTGTATACTATCCCAAAAAAGAAACACATAGATCAGAAATCTGTTGCGAAAATGATGTATTTTCAAACATGTATAACTCGTCCACAAATATACTTTAGTGCATGAATTTGTACACCAGTTTAGATGAAGGTAATGTCTATACCACCAAGTGCATACTCTTAGATAACGGAGACGTTGAGCGCGATGGTGACGACGTAGCGCGGTCCCGACGTCGGTTCTCCTGGCTCTCAGACCGATCTCTTTCAACCTGTTCCGTACAGTTTGACCGGATATCTCCGAAGTCCAGGCATCCTGGCTGCTGTGCTCTCACCCGTGGCAGTACGATCATTCAAATGTAGTACCCGGATGTACCGATCTTGGGCTGCAGTGGTGACTCGAGGTCTGCCTGTACGGGGAGGGTCATTTGTTATACCTGTTTGATTATAACGAGCTGCAAGCAGTGATATCGTGCTCAGACTAACATTCAGACGCCTGGCAACAGAAGATTGGTAATCTGCAACGTGCATTCTTTCAATGGCGATGTTCCGTGTCACAGAGTCAAGACGTGGCGTAGTGATTTGACCTTGAGATTCCTTCAAAACGAATGCCTATTTCCGAAAGTAATCTGGATTTTATTGCCAGACAGTGCATGCTCTTTGCTGCACAATTTCAACTGGAAGGTGATTTCTGTTGCGTTTTGGCGATGCCTTTTTAATCCTTGTCAGAAATCTCATCAAAATTAACATTTTCACGTAAAAATCGATTCTTTACTTGTGCAATTGTGTAAAATCATGTTATCAACACTTTTGTTACATATTTTGTTGATTGTTTGAACACAATAGGTAATAAATAGCTTTTTTAAAATACAAATCACCTATGCGTTTCCTTTTTTGAATAGTATATTTGAATGTTGACAATGAGTCATTTAGTCTCGTGTTTCTTAATGCTAGTCTAAGTTATCCACAGAACAGCGATTGGCAGAATGGAGTTTAGATACGAAGTGTCACCCTATCCCAGAAACCGGTTTGGTGTGAACCATTTCAAACTTCAAGATTACACAATTCTAAATTTTCCCAAAGAATTGATTATGTAGTCTGGTTTCTTCACAATTAAAGCAATCCTGCACAGTACCGAATATTCTTGTGTTTATTAAACTTGAAGTTTTCGTGTTCTTGCTTCAACAGATTGGCATGGATTTTGGCCTTGTGTTCAACTACGGGGTTTCTCGTCTATAACCTTGTGGGCGAGATAGGAACCTACTACAGCTACCCAACCGTCACCAAGATCACACCCCAAATCAAACATTCAATCAATTTTCCTGCCGTCACCATCTGCAACAGATGCACCTTCAACAACACTCGTCTTGAGGTTTACCCAGAGATGGAGAACTATTTTTTCAATATTTCTCAAGAAAGGAAGAGGAAAGCCTCAATTTCTGATCTAACTTCAGATGTGTTTCAGGAACCGTTGTCTTTAGAATGGTTGCAGAACATGTCAATGGAAGGATCCAAAATGTTGTTTAAATGTGTCTTTGGTGGTGACGACTTTGATTGTATGACCGACTTCCAACCTATTTTCACTTATGAGGGGTTGTGTCACACCTTCAACTTCAATGCCAGTAAAATTGTGAGGGCGGCAGGTGACGACGCAAACCTCATCGTCACTTTCAACATCAACCAGAATGACTACACCTTCATCAAAAACAAGGCAGCTGGGATTAAGGTAAATAGCCCCTTCACTAAGTAGCTCCCTAACGGATCGGAAACTTCCTAAAATCATTTAGTGTTGAAAGAATCTGCTAACTGTCATTAGAAATGGATATGATGTGCAAATACATAAACTGGTATTATCTACTCATCTGCGAAACTTATAATTACCGAAAAGATTACGTTTGTATAATTCAGCCACATGGCCTCATGAATTGTTTTGATTCAACTCTGTAAAGACCTTGGCTTTTATTTAGGGAGGACGCTTCCGGTTGGACAGGAAGTCCTCGTCCATAAACTGGTTAATTACTGGATGGATGTACATTTAACAAACACAAAACTCTTATGCAAAATCAACTAATCACAACCGTCAGATGGTTCAATCTCCACTGATGGTTACGAAAACTACTTGTTAAATTACGGATTCTGATTTTGTGTAGAATAACTTTCAGGCCGTTATCCGTGTAGGGATATTGGCTCAAAGTAAATATCCCATTCCATAAACTCTGGAGTAGTTGGTGTGAATCTGGGTTCCTGTAGCAGAAGTTGGTGTATGTGTGCCCAAGACATTTCATAAATAGCTCTCACAGTGTAAAATGGATAGAAATAATTGTTCTGTGTATGTTCGCAGGTATTTCTCCATCATCCGGACGTCCACCCAGACGCTAGCTCTACTGTGGTGATGGCTGCACCCGGGTTCTCAACATATGTTGCCATACAAACATTTCAGGTGGGTATGTGTGTTGTTGTTTTACGCCGCACTCCGAAATATTCCAGCTTCATAGCTTCGGTCTGTAAATATTCGAGGCTACCAGACAATCCACTGATCAACAGCATGAGCATCAATCTACGCAATTGGGATGACATGTGTCAACCAAGTCAGCGAACCTGACCACCCGCCCCCGTTAGTCGCCTCTTACGTCAAGCATGGGTTGTTGAAAACCGATTTTCACCTAGATCTTCATGGGTGACAAGTGCGTATGCTTGAATATAGGTGGGTACGTTTGAATATATATTCTAATTACTTTGTGACACGCTCACAGTAGCATTGACTTTGCACTAAGGACGCATCCTAGTTATATCCCTTGGAAAGTTGAGAGCTCCACAGAAGAATGATCAAACTCGATAATGTGCACTTATTCATGGTCATGTCTACATATTTAAAGAACGCATTAAAGATATTTATATTCAGAATTGGTACGCATCAGTAAATTCATCCAGTTGTCTTTATTGTTACTGACAATGTAAATCTATGTGCGGACCCGAAAAATATATCAGTGTTCTTAATGAGTCCCTTTTAAAAAAATTTATTTTTAAATTTAGAATCTCTCTATATGCCGTAAAAATACAACGTTTTAGAAAAGATAATAATACATTGGAAGATGTATCATGTTCTTATTGTTCTGCTGGTAAAACTGAAGACGAACGTTACTTATTATTACTCTGTGAGGTATTCTCTGCCTGCCGAGAATTTTAAGTTCTCTAATGAAGCCCCACAAACGATATATAATGTACTTAATTCTAATAATGCTGATATTTTCCAATCTGTTGCCATTTTCATAAAACATTTGATGTCCATCCGTAAAACTCATGTAAACCCATAATTTCATGTCACGTGACCAGTAGTTGTAATTGAGCAACTTTAATTGTACTTTGGACCACTGGGCCTTACCTACTGAATAAAACCTGTCTGTCTGTCTGTCTGTCTACATAGTCACTTCCCGTTAGCGATATATACCAGTTCGTTTGGGGATGTTTTTGCACCAATACAAAACATGGGAATTTCCAAGCACCTGCATACAAAGTTTTATGAAGGAGCAAACATGTATATGATATGGTACAAAGCTTCACAAGTCATGCAATCATATGACCATATTTTCTGTGAGAGAGAAGGACATGGTGTTTTCTCACGCATTTAACTTCAATACTTATAAACTTTATCTCAACTTTTAGTGTCTATAAATCTATAGAATCAATTATGAAAATGAGTGCCCTAATGTTAATTATTATCGCATTATTATTATATAATAATAATAAGGGTCTTCATATTGCGCAATACTCCATACCACAAAGGGGCATGCTCAAAGCGCGCAAAAATGTTTAAAAACAAACACATCAAAAAGTCAAATGAATATTAGGTCGTTGTGTATTTGGTGGTCATATCCAATGCAATGTCCACCATCCTACAACCAAGAACGCTCAATATGCATGCACGTACTTGACCCCACAATTTCAACACATTTCAAATAAATTATTGACTTTTGTTTCTAGTATCTTTACCTGCCCCTCCCGTACAAGGCATTTGATGACACTAATTGTCTGGACACAAACAGTCCCAATTTTGTGAATCCCCTGAAGATCTACTCCCTCTACACCTACGACCATTGCGTCATGGAGTGCGTACAGATGGAGGCATTTCGACAGTGTGGATGTCTCGGACCTTATGTCCCAAGTAAGTATTTGACTGTTTTGTGAGACATTTACACCACTTGTTTAAAGACATTCTCTTCCCACAGAGGTTACTTGTCATATCTTCCTACGAACCTCTGTTCTAATACGGCCATATTTCCCGGTTCTCGTAAAATCCCCTAGCGGCAAAAGATCGCAACACGAATGATCTCCCTTCTTTCTATCCAATCAGAACACGTGTTACATCGACTTAGATTCAACTTGACTAACACAAGCAAATGTGGGCCACAAATATCCCTCCGCTGCCGGGGACTTGTGTTGATGTTACACACAAGACGTTTAATGGCTAGCGTGTCCGTTGTCAACGAGGGCGATGGAGACGCCACTGATCCGCCATAACATGACTGAGTTCTGTCTAGAAGAAACGTTTGCGCATCGCGCAGGGGAAGAGGTTTAGTTTTCTCGAAGCATACGGAAATTACCGAGGCCTTGCGAATGATCACTTTTGAAACAACGTCGCTGATTGCACAACTAAATCTGATTGCAACCAATCACGAATCCTGAACACTCGCACCATGAAAGGGCCGTATTAGAACAGAGGTTCGTAGGAAGATATGACAAGTAACCTCTGTGGGAAGAGAATGGTTAAAAGAAGGCACAGTTCATATTCAGTGGAATACTGCAGTCCTTCAGGAACGGTACCAGAACCTTTTGACGAACTGCTTGTAAACCTGTATAGAAACAGTAACTGAGGACTGACAGAGGCATCAATGAATTAAGTGACCTACCATGGTGATACCACATGTTGACACTTGTGCTTCGTGTAAATATACATATTCGTGTTTCCACAATCAGGCCATCTACCGTCGCATGAGTGAGTCAGAGGAGTACAAATGTACACCTTGAGTGCGGATGTACACTACACTTGGGTGGGGGCTATTGTATTGGGGGAGTAGAGGTGTAACAAGACACAGCCCTAAGGTGTACTGTACATACTTGCCAACTTACGGTCTTATTACTCTCGTCACGCTCTCAAGACAGAACTGTTATCTCATGCTAAACTGCGTCTATATGTAAACATTTCTGGGAAGGGAATTTGCAATTATGTACCAGGCCGTGGACGGCGGCCCCTGGACCGCTATGACGTGTTGACCTCGATGAACAGTTTAATGTGAATCGCGTATGATCTCTTTGGTGTTCGTGATAAAGGCTTGCTGGGCTTTTTGTATCCCCTGTTCTATGTACTTTTTTATTTCGTCTTCGCTGATAGCAGACTTACGAGACTTGGAACGGATTTCTTGTTTCATCTTACGATACTTGTCGAGTTCAGAGAGGATTGAACGAAATTCCTCCTCTGAGATCTTACTGTCAGTGAGTGGTGTGGAAGTACGCTCGCTTACCGTGTTCAGCTTTGCTTCGGCTAGAACCCTGATCTCGTCATGTTTCAACGCTTTACGATGCAGTCTGCGGGCTACAAACTTAAACACCAACCCTGCCACCCCTACCACCCCAGCTGTTATTTCAATGCCTAACACTATAGGTGCGGCCACGATGGTGGCTAACAACTCAACACCTGCCGCCCCTAGTCCCATGCTGGTTGCCATAAGGGCAGTATCAGTCCCGTCCGTGATATTGAAAGCTCTGTGGTACTTCTTATATAGTGCTTTCCTCGCGTCGCGGTCTTGTTCTAGTTGGCGTTTTACATCACATAACTGTCTCAAGCGGAACCCGTCTACGGTTTCCAGTGTCTTCGCGACTTCCTCTACGACTGGGTACAGACTCATTCTGTGTGCATATAATATATCTTATGGGATATTTTTTCATTGGGCTTCAGTTAATGGTCGCTTAATGTACTTGAAGCTTATAAGGTCTAGATCTCTGTGCAGGGAAATAGGCGAGAGGCTAATAGGTAACACTATGGATACACGAACCCCCTTGGAGGATAAATAGGGTATATAATCCTTTCGGGAGTCCAGTTGTATGACGAAACGGTGGCGTTGTGTTTCGAAACTGGAGGCCAGGGGTCATAGACCAGGTAATCCCAGTATATTGTCACCCCAGGTAAAAATTGTAGTTCTATTGTTTCTATTGTTTCAGGTAGGGATACCTGGCGTATGCTGAGATAGAATTCTATGATGATTGTGAAGTCTTGTCTCGCAGTCATAAGCCCCGTTTGGGAAGCGGGACCGTCAAACCTTAACTCCCCCTTCACAGGTGAATCTAACATGTTGCCCGTGTCATCTTGTGTTAGCTTAGGAAGTATACCAGGCCCCGGAATGAAAGCCCCAGGCAAGATACCGTTGTTCTTAATTTCGGAGATATGTCCCTCTTGGTGTTACGAGATATAAGGTGCGGTGAGGGTCATGTTGATCAACCATTTGGGCTCTCTAAGGGCGTCTGCCAGAGGGTGCCGCACGTACACGCCGTTTTTTAAGTGTAGGACGTACGAGGTGTATTCCTTGCCAGGCTGATCGAATCCCTCCGTGTCTCCTAGACCCCCGAGTGTGATTTTGGGTAGATGGTCGGCCATTGCCGTCCGCCTATACACGTTGTTTTTCAAGTGTAGGACATATGAGGTGTCTTCCTCGCCTGGTAGATCGAATCCCTCCGTGTCTCCTAGATCGTTAAGTGTGGTGTTGGGTCGATGCCGATTGGACATTGCTATAATACTATTACGAGATAGTTTCCAATTGTTTTTCTGATAATTTCTCAGGGGTGCACTTCACCCCCATGAGGTGTATGTTATCAGGTAGGAAGATCTTGGTGAGTGATATCGTGGCTTCCACGGTCAATGTGACCCCTTGCAGACTGGTGTGGGAGTCGACACCCAACGGCACGCAAACCTGATACTGGTGTTGTTTCCCCCACCGGAGTTTGCCCCCCTTCACGATTTTGACTTCATCCGTCGATGGTTCCCCTAGGTAGACTTTGATGACCAGCGTGGAGTTCACCGGTAGGCTGGCCAGGATGTTGGCCACGCCAGCGAATTCAGACACCAACTGCAATGCCACATCTTGCACTCCCGGTTTACTCAATAGCATGTGGGCTGCCATACTGGCGACTGGGCTGATGACTACGCTACGTCTCTGAGCCGGGACGTAAGCCACGAGCAGGGTTCCGTTGTTCACGACTTTGTTTAGGTAGCTGTCTTTGTTCTCCGTGAACACTTAGGGGGAGCCGAGCCTAATGTTGAGAAACCAGTCGACTTTAGCGGGCAACAACACCCACTTGTCATCGTTGGTGAAGACGAGCGTATATGGCTTGTTTCGGGCGACCGTCGTGCTCTCAACATCTTCTAAGTCGAACAGTTTGCCTCCGAACGATGGGTATATCATCCATTTATCATCACTGGTGCGGACTAGGGCGTACCTAGTGTTGACGGTCGCTCCTGAGGTATCTACTATATCACTTAGGTTTCTAGTACCACCAATGATGGGGACTTCAACGCGTTTGTAAATGTTGTTTTTCAGTTGCAAGGCATACAATTTACCATCTACTCCGGGGTCGTCGAATCCGCGTGTGTCCCCGAGTTTGGATATCCCCGCATTGATGCATTTTTTCAAACTCATCCCGGGGCCTTGTGCGCTAGTCATTTTATGGGCAGCATTATGCTGAGGTATCTTATATTCACAGGATTATGATTTATATCTAACACCGATATTATCAGCTCAGGGATGTTGCCCCGAGTTAACATCTTGAACTGCCGCTGTGAAAACGACACGGTTCTACCATTGTTGTACTTCTCCGTTTTCACCAGTACGGCTCTCAGTATCGTGGAAGAGTGCCCCCCTTGAATGTTGTCCGTGCTCAGCTGACCAAGATGAACTGAGCACAGCTCTCGGTACGGTACTAGGTCGGGTAACTTCGTGCCTGTGACGGTAGTTGTTGGTTTTATCTCGTCTGGCGGCATACCGAGTGTCCTCGCCAATGGTCGGCCGAGCCTCAAGGGGTTTCTTCCGTTGTTGATTAACACCACTGTGCCGCCGTTTGAGTCAATTCATCTTGAGGTTGGCTCCTCAAGGGTTTGAAGACCTTGTCGCAATAGCGAGCGAGCACGCTGTAGTAGCCGTCAGTTATCTGGTTGCGCGTACCGGAATGACAAACAGCTTGTTGTTGTTGACATTGATGTTAGTCCATCGCGGTTGGTAGGTGATATCGCAGAGTGCGACTTCGAGTTGACCAGACGTGTTATCGATCGCGTGCATCAGCTGAACGGACTTGCCGCTCGTTATTCCTAGAAGTGTTATGTACATGTTAGAGTATATATACTCATTATAAAATACTTTAAAAAAATGTACTCCCCAGGAGTGTTTTACCCTAAACTGGACATAGATTTCCCACACAAGATCGCGGTCGCCGCCGGCTTGTACCGGGCCCAGCTCATATTTATAGATGTATTTGCTAGGTATAGGTTTTCGGTGACTAACGCTAAGGTAGTTCATGCTTGGTTCAACACCCGATGCAGTTCTGGCAGAATCAACTCAACTTCGCTGTGTGGTGCTCTACAACGGGGTGTGGTGTGACATTGACCGACTACTCGGCGGGACCATTGAGTAAGTCTGTGTTCACGTTCCACGTACTACCAGGTCGTAGGCGTATCCTCAAAGAGATCAGCACCCTGCTCCCACAGGACAAGGCGTGGGACGCAGTAAACAACCAGTACGATAGACGGGCCTAAGAACGCGTTTGCAACGAATTCGAACTAAACCCGAAGACGCATTGGCGTTTGTCGGGGCCAAACCACGGGTTGGGTATCCCCATCGTTCACAATATGCCTATCGCGGATGCCAGCGAGAAGATGAAAGAATGGGGGTACAAGTCGTATCATCACCTCACAACAAACGAGTGGGATGACCGTTACATGGCTTTTGACAACAGCAAGGATTACCGAGTCTGGAGGTTCGAGCAGGGGCCCACGGATGATGTTCATGCTGGACACGTCGAAAGGGTTTACTTCGTACGGCACCGAACGCTTGAACGACCGCAACGATTCGGAACGATCGCCAAGCTTGTGGCTGTTAGGTACGCGTTCCAGTATTATTTGTAAGGGAACTGCTTACAACGCGCAGAAACAGTTCGTTGTTAAAGTTGAGGATGCTATCAATGCTCCAGTTGATCTACCGAGTGCCATCAAACGCTACCAAGACTTGTTGGAATACGCCCGGTCGAAAGTCGACTACGTGTTCGACGTGGGACTGTGCATGGCTCCGAGCGATATGCAACTGAGAGTAAAAAAAGTGGTGGGTTACAACAACGAAATAGTCATAGCCACGGTAGACCAAAAGTTGGGCGTCAACCCCGATGTTAACACCCCCCACGTCCCGCCACCCACGACCGGTGGAACGGGTATAGTCGTACCACCCCCGGAGTCCAGAGTTCAAGCCACACCCCCACAGCCCCAACCCCCACAATCCAATCAGCAGCACAACGGCCGTAAAACAGCCCTGGTGGTTGGCAGGGTCGCGGCCGGTTTGGGACTCATTTGGTTAAAAATTCCTTAGCCGCTACGTACACCAGACACGCAACGGCGACGATGGCTGCCCACAGGTTTTGACTGAACCACGTGGCAGTTTTAGCCAGAGCGCTCAGCAACCACGAGACGATGCTACCCAGGATGCCGGGCAGGGCTTCGTCGGCCTTACCAGCCAGTTTAGCCAGGGCCTCCCCGCGGGATTTCAGGTGTTTTTCTATCCAGTCTCTGATGCCACCACCACTTGGGGGTGTGGGGGTACCACCTGGTGTACCACTGCCGCCGGCAGGCGTCAGTGACACCACCAGGGTTGATATGATGAAGCCCAATCCAGTCAGAAGGCTGGCGATAGTAATCCCTTGCTCTCGGAAGAGGATTCGGATCCTGTCAGCTAGCGTGGTGTGCTCATTTAGGACTCGATCGATGGTTTCCCGTACGCGACTTATCTGGTTCGAGGAAGCGGATTCCAACCGAGTCCGTCTCTCGTCTTCCAAGTTTTTTATTCTCTCCTCGATACGACGTTTCATATCATCGTCCTCCGTTTCAGTGAGTTTTATTTTCGTTCAGTTTCCCCATGTTGTTCACGAGTTCTCCGCGTACATGTTTCAAGGCTTCGTCTAGGCCTCGCAGTTCCCTCAGGGTAAATTCGAGGCCCGGCAAGGGGTTGGCATGGTACGTGGCCAATATTTTTTCGACGCTGTCCGACGTTTCTTTAGCACGTTGGGGTATATTACCTTCACCGCTGAGTTCGGCCCTGGCTGCTTGCAGATCTTGGACGACCTTCGGGGAAAGCTTAGGCCGTGCGCCACCGTAATCTATGAAGCCTAGTTCATCACGGATCAGTTGACTCCCACCAGGGCGACTGGTGAGTGTTGACAAAGCATACGGTCCTTTCCCGTCTTTTTTCATGATATCGACCCCCGGGTGAGCCTTCAATCGCAGTGTGCCGTTCTTATCGATGGTAAACTTGGCATAGTCTCGCCACAACGGCTTGATGTTGTCTCTCTTTTCAACTGCGTTGTAATAATCATCGACGGCCGGCTGTACAAGTTCAGCGCTCAAGGGGTTGCTCCCAAACGAGGTCTCCTGCTCGTCGAACGCCTGGGGAATATCATCCCACATATCATCCATCGGGATGTCCTCATGACCACCTTCAGCCATTATTTATATTAAACTTTTATATTTTATCTATATAACAATGCATGGCAGGAAACTAGATCCTTTCCGAAGATCAAGAGAGCCTCTAGGCGTCAGAGCCGTGCATCAGTCGGTGACCATCACCAACAATCCCAGCAAGATAGACCAGAATCAAACGCGAGAATCGACTGACGTTCAACCTCACGTTGACCTCCGACAACGACAAACGCGAGCTAGTGCGGAACGTAGGTCGAGCCATCATCAAGAAAACTAGCATCCTATTCCTACCCCATGACAAGAGGTACAAGTATGCCTTAACCGTCGTGGACGTGGCCAGTCGCTACAAGGAAGCCGAAGCCTTAACCATTAAAGACTCGGCCCAGGTAGCCCGCGGATTCGAACGCATGTACAAACGCAGTCCGCTGACGTGGCCCACAGAGCTGCAAGTTGACCCCGGGCGGGAGTTCATGGGTGTCGTGTCACACCTGCTAGACAAACACGATACCAAGGTCAGGCGTGGTGCTGCCGGGGCTCATCGCAGCCAACATTGTATCTTCTACTACCTAAGAGGCGACTAACGGGTTCGGGTGGTCAGGCTCGCTGCTTTGGTTGACGACACATGTCATCGATTCCCAATTGCGTAGAACGATGCTCATGGTGTCGATCACTGGATCGTCTGGTCCAGACTCGATTATTTACAGACCGCCGCCATATAGATGCAATATTGCTGAGTGCGGCGTTAAACAACAAATCAACCAACCCTTGATAGGAGAGCATATCAGCGTTCATAGTCCTCTCCTGTTTCAATTGTGCAGAAGGGTAAAGCAAAGGTTCACACACAAAATCCCACTTAATAGTTGTTACAATCGTGCTGTTAGTGAGTATATCGGCTATTTATCCTTAATAGGGGAGCATATCAGAGTTCATAGTCCTCTTCTGATAAGGAGAATCGAAACGTCGCATCACCTGAATAAAGAAGTTGTTCATCCATAAAGTTTGTCCTTATCTGATTCACCAACTTCTAAATATGCCACTCAAAGAAGTAGCCCTCTTCTGTTTCAATTGTGCAGAGGGGTAAAGTAGAGGTTTACACTCACAACTACATACAAACATGTAAGTTGGTATTGAGATTTGCAACAATTGCGTTCAATTGTTAAAAGTATGGGACCCAATAGACAACCAAGTACGTGAGGAACTGTTTGACGGATAATTTCTGAGCCTCACGTGAAATCATTTTACTGTGTATGGCCTCATAATGAGCTCTGATATCATTGGGGTCTATCCTAAAAAACATGAGTCACCTCAGCCTATGTTTCGCTGTGTGTACATTACACAGAGACTTCTTGTTGAGGTTTGTCAATCAATCCTCGTACCTGGTGGAGAAAGCACAATCAAGAGCTAACCTTGGCTTTATTTGGATATAAGGCCGAGGTTTCCCGGTTGGGTAACCCAGTGGTTGAAAATGAGACATACCTGTTGCTGAAACCACAAGTACGGGCTAGTCAAGTTGGTTTAGTGTATTTGGAAATGTCCAAATCGTGTAAACATTTCTTAATGCACGTTTTCTTTCACGAGGATCGTTGTCCAAGAATGGCACCTTCATGAGGAGGTGTCGCTGTGTCAGCGAGTGCGTGTTCGACAGGTACACGGCCCAGGTGTCCTCCAGCTCCTTCCCTGCAGACAAATGGGAATCCACTCTTCTCAAAAACACGAGGGCAAGGGACAGGCTGAGTTTGAAGTAAGAATTCCGTGTTCTCCAGACTCAAATGTTAAAAACAAATCATGGATATTTTATTTCCGTCAGTAATGCTATGAAGGGTTCCACCGATGGAAAGGGACAGGGGCCCCTTTTCGCAAACACCTGGTGTCATCACTATTTAATAGTAATTCATAAACAAATGCTCATGATATATTTGGAACAGTTCTGTTCACTCTGCTTCTGGCAGACATTTATCATTGAGGAGAAAAGTGTTTCGTCGTTAAAATATTCACACTATATCTCCGTTTCAAGCCGTATGTTTTAATCTGAAAGAATTTCGCCCGAATTCCTCAGAATTGCCCGGTTCAATACTTCATAAAAGCTTCAATGTTGATGTCACTTGCTTCAAACATAATAGTTTATGTTTGAGTTTTTTTGGCGAAAATGGGAATTTCCTTCTTAAGGTTTCGCTTTCGAAACACCAAAATAAAAACTTTGCCATTACAGCTTCAAAAAGAACGAAATGTTACCGTTGTTATGCTGACGCCATATCGGTCACATAAAGTGCATTTGATCGGACTGTGGAGAGTTGTTACCCCTTACTGCCAACGTCGCTAGTGAATGGTTTGAATCCAAGGTTGACGTCGATCCTATGTCTATTACCGCCATGGTCGTGGGTTTTCAAAATGTCAGCGGAGTTAATCACAGTAAATGTGCTATAGATGTATAACTATTTGCCGATGTGTGTTATTCAGAGACAACCATCTGGAGCTGAAAGTGTTTTACGACCAGATGATGGTGACATCCATCACACAACAACCTCAATATACCGCGGCTTCTCTGTTTTGTAAGTATCCAATTGCTAAAGCTCCCTATATCATTAAACCTTGAACGGGGCAGAATTTGACCTGGGGCGTCTGAATTTAGTGTACAGAGTTACGTCCCTTAGCCATGAGAGGATAATTGACACTAATAGCAGAGTCGTACATTCTGCACCATATGACAACCATTGAGCTGTTAATGCGTTTTCAGAATTATCATACGTCAGAGATAATTTCTGTCACGGCGTAGATGTTCATGTGATGGTGTTGTTGTTGCAGCCAATGTCGGGGGTCAGATGGGATTGTGTCTCGGAGCCAGCATCCTGACAGTCGCAGAGATCGCGGAGCTCCTGGTGTTCATCATCATCTTCCTCTTCGACAAATGTAGAGGAAGAAAAGCTCGTAACAGAATCAGCAACTGGTAGACAATGCATTTTCCCTCACATGCCGTTCAGAATACAGCTATCATGAGGATATACATTTCTACAATGTCTCTACACAAGTCTTACGGGTTGCTGAAGACCAATTCCAACACGGATCTTCATGGATTCATCACAAGCCGTAGACAATACATAATAAAGAAAGACATTCTACAACGTCCCAATACAAGTAGTAGACAATACAACTAACACGATGATAAGCATTCTGTTTGGACAGAACCAAATTAGTTCAGAACTAGTAAGAGGATAGTCACAAATCTGACAGGAAGATATCAGCCATTTTGAATTGTCTAAACAGCTACATATACTTCCCATCAACAGTTTACACTCACTTAAAGCACTCACTATATGCTATGTATATATATATATGGTTACATCGAAGACGAATTTCTCCACAAACTTGGGGGAACCAACTGCAAACCTTATGCAGATAAATTTCACGAGGATCATGCATATATCGTGCATGTGAACAGCTGCGTTTTGGTGTAAAGATTTGTTCAGAATTCGCCAATTTTCACTGAGCTTCATCATTAATTGAACTCATGACAATAATCTTTTCAACGTTACGAATTTGTTTTCATCAGTTCATGTGTAAACAGTACCTTAAACATTATGGGATATTTAGCAAAATCTAGTTTAGAACAGTTGACCGAAGTAAGTGGCTACATTTACACTAGTGAGTCTAAACGTTTGATGGTAGTATACATTACTGAAATTCAAGATATTTTGCTTCTATGTGTCAATATAATGTTCCTACTGTAACAGTGGAGATTCTCTCGCGTATCCTGTAAATATTCCTGTTCTGACTTGTACGATATGGCCCCGTGTTTGTAAGTGATCTATTGACATGCCTTTGCGTGTGTTTGTGACTGGTGCCACCAGTGAGGCAGGTTACGTTCACCTTTTCGCGAACACCTGGTATCATCACATGCTTATTATACAGACGAAATCGTACGATGCACCCTCTTTTGCATAGATTTGTCATGATTATCGAAATGATTTTGTTGCTTCTATTTCCATTATATATGGCATCGTGTATGGGTCACTGGGACGATTCCTCCATTACCTTTGACGCTTTGAAACTATATATGACCATTCAGTCCTATATCTGACCATTCAGTCCAATATCTGACCATTCAGTCCTATATCTGACCATTCAGTCCAATATCTGACCATTCAGTCCAATATCTGACCATTCAGTCCTATATCTGACCATTCAGTCCTATATCTGACCATTCAGTCCAATATCTGACCATTCAGTCCTATATCTGACCATTCAGTCCAATATCTGACCATTCAGTCCTATATCTGACCATTCAGTCCAATATCTGACCATTCAGTCCTATATCTGACCATTCAGTCCAATATCTGACCAGTCCAATATCTGACCATCTGACCATTCAGTCCAATATCTGACCATTCAGTCCTATATCTGACCTGACCATTCAGTCCTATATCTGACCATTCAGTCCTATATCTGACCATTCAGTCCACCATTCAGTCCTATCTACCATTCAGTCCATATCTGACCATTCAGTCCAATATCTGACCACCATTCAGTCCCAATATCTGACCATTCAGTCCTATATCTGACCATTCAGTCCTATATCTGACCATTCAGTCTATATCTGACCATTCAGTCCTATATCTGACCATTCAGTCCAATATCTGACCATTCAGTCCCATATCTGACCATTCAGTCCATTCACCATTCTCCAATATCTGACCATTCAGTCCAATATCTGACCATTCAGTCCTATATCTGACCATTCAGTCCAATATCTGACCATTCAGTCCTATATCTGACCATTCAGTCCTATATCTGACCATTCAGTCCTATATCTGACCATTCAGTCCAATATCTGACCATTCAGTCCAATATCTGACCATCCTAATATCTGACCATTCAGTCCAATATCTGACCATTCAGTCCTATATCTGACCATTCAGTCCTATATCTGACCATTCAGTCATTCAAGCCCGAGAAAAGATCAATTAGATATCTTTACGTCAACTACAAACTAGATGTGGTGAATGTCCTTGGCCATGTTTATAGGATGTTAGATGTGATAAATGTTGTTGCTAACAACTAGTTGGAAATAACAGATTTGCTACGATAATATATGGGTGTAGGTCGATAGAGAGAGTGTCCAGGTTCGATTCCCCACATGGGTACAATGTGTGAAGCCCATTTCTGGTGTCCCCCGCCGTCATATTGAATATTGCTAAAAGCGGCGTAAAACCATATTCACTCACTCATTCACTCTTTGGTGACTGGAATATATCTCAGGGAATATTTTATCGGTGGTTGATAAACACACGGTTTCTCTGATACAAGGAACCAAACAAACGTTGAGGGTACCGACACATTTTCTTCTGGACATTTGTCAACCATTTGGTCCTGAGCCTGGTCATCGATCCTCTTACACAAGATAGGTGACCGATACTAGCATAGAAGCCCACGTGACCTTTCCAATGTGATTTTGTTGTTGTTGTCGTTGTTTTGTATTTGTACTTTGAATAAATTGTTTTGAAACTGTAATTGTATTACTTGTATAAGTTTGTAAACCCAAAGGGATATCTGCGGTACATAATGGAACCGGGAAATTCAGATCACCTGGTTCTGACAACAACATACACCCTCATATCTATATTGTATTACGATTGTCTCTTGTTGTGACCGACGCCGCTGTTGCCGGGCAGCAGAAGACTGGTTCGATCCCCGGTCCATACCAAAATGTGAATATGGTACTTGTTACCCCGCAAGGTGCTCGGCATTAGGGGAAAACATTGATATGTATTCTGTCTGAGTAAGGTATCCGTGTTAAAAATGAGGCTTGGTATCTCATTTGGCTATAAAATTGCCAATTGCCAGGAAAAGGAAACGCAGGCACGCACGCACGTGGTTGAACGTCGCTCTAGAAGGTCAGTAATTCTGAACACGACGATTGACCCCCTCCCCCTCCCCCAAGATTTAAGCGTCATATAGGGGTCGATTTCTGTACCCAAAGGCACTGAATGTGTACCGTAATATGATAGTTTTCGGTATCTTGATAGGGACAGAACGTCGTTTGTAACGCGGTGACCTTGCGTTTGTGTTTGTTTGTTTGTTTGTTTGTTTGTTTTGTTAAACACCAAATTCAACACTATTCCAACTAAATGACGGCGGTCTGAAAATTATCGAGCCCGGACCACACACTCCAGTGGCAGATATCATGAGCATCGATCTACACAATTGGGATACGATGACCTGTGTCAACCAAGTCACCCGATCCCGTTAGTCGCCTCTTACGACAAGCATGTGTTGCACAAGACCAATTTTAACCCGGATCTTATCAAGTTTATTGCGTTTGAGAGTGTGAAGTGTGACATGGTGTAGTCCGTGTGTTAGGTAATCAAAACCAACCTTTGTCGGGCTTTGGCCCCTGAAGGAAAAGCAATGAATCTTCACAAGTAAGGCGAGTTCGAACCATCTGTATTTCATTGATGACAACAGCCCCGTGGTGAAACGACAATCGACCTCGCCTCACTGCAAGGCCAATGCATCGAAGCCACGCTGGGTGCCGATAGGATTGCCTCCAAGTGTTTTGTCTGCTCGAAGAACATGAAATAGCGGTTGTTTTTTTGTCTGTGTAAATCTGTGGTGTTGTCGAATTCAGGATTCATGTTATTGTCCAAATTTCCTTTTAGCAGTTAGAGAAAACTGAAGTTTGAAGCAGTGTATATCATTTACAATGAAGACCGATACTTGTGATGCGCCAGCCTTGTTGCGTCGGTCGGAGCGCCTCCTACTTGTGTTGGCGAATGTTTCCAAAGTCCATGTCTCTCGATTAAACCTGTACATACATAAAGTATTGTTCATGGAAAGGGAAGGAGGAATCTAGATCGAAAAAAACAACAACAAAAATTACGTTACGCTTTTAACAAATCAAAGATGTAAATGTAAGGGAAAGACTGTCCTGACGGTGAGATCCATGATCCCAGTGGTACGGATAGGTAAATACGGAAACCGCAGCTAGGTACACGCGACTGGATATGGTGATAGGCCGTATTTAAATACGTTTTCACAATATTTTAGTTACATCGTGGTTGTTTGGTTGGGTTGTTGTTTAACGCCGCACTCAGCAATTTTCCAGCTATCTTGAGGCGTTCTGTAAATAATCGATTCTCAACCAGACAATCTAGTGATAGTTATCATAAACATCGATCTATGCAAATGGGATGCGAATACGTGTGTTAACCAAGTCAGTGAACATGACCACCCGATCCCGTTAAACGCCCCTTACGACAAGCATGGGTTGCTGAAGACCAATTCTAACCCGGATGTTCACGGGTCAGTTATATCCAGGTGAAGAATTGAACTAATATCTTTGGCGTGATGAGCGAACCCGCTGGGCTACCCCACCGCCCCCTGTCTAAGTGGAAAACGGAAGTGACATGGGTTTCCCGTCATGAACACTATTTCAAGTGTAAAACACCTGGTTACCCTAATGACGTCGAAAATCTTGAATGATGGTAAAGCATACAAGCAGAGAAGGGGCTGTAGTGTTGTAGCACCTGGGATCATAAATCAAAGACAGGGGTACCGGATCCTTGTACCTACGGACGCATCACTACATAATACTATGCGCCACTAATACCACAATACACGACCAAAGTGAATTCAAATTAGTGTGCATGTGTTTCGGATATGGGGACATGGATTAGAAAAGAAAACTCGTAGGACATGTACAATTTCAATACAAATTGTTTACCACAATTTAAACCAACGCAAACTTGAGGTGCTGAGATTATATTTTATAAGTACCAGTAAAAAATAACTTCACAATCAACGACGTTAGAAAACCACTATCGATTACATCACGTACTCATATAACTCAACAACGGCAATATAAATATTTCATAACAGACATGCATACGAATGTCTTCACTTCCTACGAGGCTTCCAACCCACGTGTCCCAGATCCACCTACCCTGCCCACTAATTAAGAACGCTGCCAGATATGGTCCCATCTGACCTCGATAGTCATTCTCTGATCGACATGGCCTAGAATGATTTATACTGGACTGTACAAATATTTAAATGAATACAACACTCCAGTATCTTTGTCCCGTGAGATGTGCAGCTGTAAATACCAATGTGTGCTTGTGACCAGCCCCTGCAGTTCTCAGTTATTCTCCAGCTCTAACTGTGCTACTTGTTTATGCTTGAAAGGTGTGGATGAATCATCCATCGAATACAACCATTGTCTGGGGAATTGTTCAAAGCCACATTGAATTTTCTTTAGTTTGAAGTTGGTTGCAGATACACATTTGTGAATTTTCATGAAATTGCAAATGGCGGCCATTCATTCCCACCGTTACTGCAGTCAAACATCCGGCCAATTTCAGTATTAATTCACATACTAAACACTTTAAAACAGTCTGCTTAAATACCTTGAATATGCGGCCTTGTAAACATCTTGTCAGTAGCAGAACTCGGAACGATGCTGTAGTCAACGAAACGCAGAGCGATAAGTAGACTAAGTGAAAGCGATAGCGTTTCTGTTGAAAACTGAGGGGGCCGTTGACAACGACAACGGTAACTACATAGAAACGAATTCAGAACGAGGTATCATCAAACGTTTCCGGCAACGTCAAACAGCCAGATATAGCTTCATCTCATGGGACCAAAAACCTGATTCTTAGCTGAACATTAAAGCAATGCCTATATATTCAAACGCCGACTATACCGTAAACTACCACCTTGTACCTCTTAGTTGTTGAAAACACACTGATAATTCTCTAAAGCCGTGTCAAGATTAATACTAGTGAGGAGAGTTGAGGATTCGTTTTCAGTCAGAAAGATGCAAGTCTTCCGATTCCATTTTTTGTTATTTCACATATGTTTGTCTCCAAAAGAGACTATCCGTGAAGGTCCGGGGTAGAATATTGATCCTTAGTAACCCATGCTTGTCGTAGGAGGCGACTAACGGGATCGGGTGGTCAGGCTCGATGACTTGGTTGACACATGTCATCGGTTCCCAATTGCGCAGATCGATGTTCATGCTGTTGATCACTGGATTGCCTGGTCCAGACTCGATTATTTACAGAACGACGCCAATTAGCTGGGATATTGCTGAGTGCGGCGTAAAACTATACTCACTCACTCACCCAAAACAGACGTTGCGGTCCACCGGCATGCAGTGCCGGAAAGTTATAATGGACAGATATATACGTTGCCATGGTTTCCGTAGGCGAAAAAAAAGAAGATGAAACTTGAATGTTGTGTTTGTTTAAACCCCGAGTATTAACTGGCAAACTGGTGAACGTATGCAGTTGCCTGGTAAGTCCATTCATCTGATCTTGGAACCATCTGCTGGTGTGTAGCGCGTGGTGTACATTTAAGGTCGGCGGTAGCTGCACTATTTGCTGCGGAAAGACAAGCTACGCAATTCGCCAAGAAATCACCTGGCCAATAAACGTTCGCTAATAGTCTGGCAAGACTGGTCTCCATTCGTGCATCGGCCAAGATCAAGCTGGATAAGAGAGACTGGTCCATCCATTCACCAATATACAGAGTAGATAAAGGCTAATTTTCCTGCTTGCGCGATCAGTTTGCTGTGCATGATTCAATCAGGAAATTGAAAAAAGCTACATGTATACTTTTTCAATCTTTATTCGCTCATCTATATGCCAAGGCAAGACGTCTAATTGTTACGCAAAGAGCGTGATAACCTGCAGTTGTTTGTTATGATCGACCTGTTCTGACGGTCAACACTGGTTGTCCGTGCAAGTAAGTGAGTCTGATCTATCAACTGGTCAAGGTGTGCTTACCTACTAATCAACTGGCTGCTCCATTCTGTGGCCAGAGTAAGAGATGCAGATTAACCGGATTTTGATTGTGTTTATGAGTTGTGTTGGGCTAGGTGTGTTAACTTGCGACAGCATTTTTAATGTTTCGTGTTGCCACCGACATCTAAGTTAGGTCGGTCGGTCGGTCGGTCGGTCGGTTTATAATAAAAAAAATTGGTGTTTTTAAACGAAAGAAGACAAAACCATGCGTAACTTTGATTCTGCTTAATTTACCTGTTTAGGAGTGGCAATGGGAAATCGGCGTATGGAAAAAAATCAATGCTACCTTAAAGAACTAATGTTATTCATATATATATATATACGACAAACTCATTTTCTGTCAAATTTGTAGATTTTAAATCCATAACACAGATTGCACTGCAGACAAACAAAGAAAAGCAGGAAAGATCATCATCATAGATTTAATCAGATGTTGCTGTCACAAACTTAGACACCTCGTTCTTTAAAAAGTTTTTTATTCTTCAATATAACAAAGTGTACTTATAAATGAAATGTAAGAAGGAAGAATGTTAATTCCTAGCCCTTATACGGGTTAGAACTGGTCTTCAGTAACCCACGCGTGTCGTAAGTGGCGACAAACGGGGTCCGGTGGTCAGGCTCGCTGACTTGGTTGACACATGTCATCGTATCCCAACTGCGTAGATGAATGCTCACATTGTTGATCACTGGATTGTCTGATCCAGACTCAATTATTTACAGATCGCCGCCATGTAGCTGGAATATTGCTGAATCCGGCGTTAAACAACCAACCAACAAAAAACACAACAACAATGGTAAATAAACTGGAGGTGTAACAGTTGGGTGTTGTAGTGTAGCCTAGTGGGTAAGGCGTTCGCGCGTCATGCGAAAGTCCTGTGTTCGATTGCCCATATGGGTACAGCGTGTGAAGGCCATTTCTTTCGTTCTCCCAACGTTATATTGCAGGAACATTGCTAAAAGCGGCGTAAAAACTTACTCACTCACTCTTGGGGGACGTGGGAAAGTCTAGAGGTTAAAGCATTCGTCCGTCATGCAAAGACACAGGTTCGATTCCCACATGGGTACAATGTGTGAAGCCAATCTCTGGTGTGTCCTGCCATGATATGGCTAGAATATTGGTAAAGGCGGCGTAAACCCATACTTACTCACTTAGCCATTCTTAGTGGGTAGTGCAAAAGTCGAGTGGTTAAAGCGTTCGTTCGTGATACCGAAGTCACAGGTTCGATTCTCCACATGGGTACAATGTGGGAAGGTCATTTCTGGTGTCCCCTCAACGTCATATTGCTAAAAGCGGCGTGAAAACTTACTCACTCACTGTATAACCTGCCTCTGTTTAAGGACACGAGTTAAGCATATCGTGATATGGTACAATTGATCTCAAGGTTCGAGTGTACAGAGATAAAAGTATGTCATGCCCGTGTGAACCCAAATCAGACCATACATAAAAAAAATCCGTAAAACGAAATCTGATTTGCGGATGAAGGTCGGCTTGAGTGATCCTCCACCTGAGATAATGCTTCAACGCTGGTCTTTGTTGACACGAACAAGCACTACGAGCCCATGTCCTTGAATACATAACACAAGGCGGCTGAGAGAACCTCTTTTCTCCAGCTCGTCAAACATCATCGGTGTCATATGTCTCGGGTAGGTCAAAAGAAGAACACCCGAAACAGCTGACAGCTTTCGTATGACCTGTTACAGATATTCTCCAACATGCAGCTTTATATTTTATTGGCATTCAATTTCATGAAAATATTTACACTTTATGCGGTTGTACGAATTAATTATGCGTCAATGAATGGTTTGTGTGATGCTCAAATAAATAGGTTAATACAAAATGCGGTCGCCGACGCCTTACCTAGGTTAAGGTGAAATGTATACAAACTTGACCTATATGACGTATGGGAGCTTGCAGCGCTTGACACCGAGCTACAAGCGAGATACATATTTACAGAATTATTCCCTGTCAGCATTGAACGGAGTCGACGTTGAACGACGCTCGCAATAGTGGCTATTCCACGTGAACATGAAGGGTGCACTGAAGGGGAAAAGTAAGGAACGGCTACAAAATTCCCCAAATGAAAAACAAAATTTCAGTACCATCTTTCTGTTGGTCCAGCTAATCGTGGTGCTAGCTGCCATTGGAGGGTACGTGTGGTATGGTCGTCAGGGGCACAGTGGTCTGGAATGGTGGAAGACGTCGGTGATCTACCAGATATACCCACGGTCATTCAAAGATTCGGACGGGGATGGAGTTGGTGATCTCAGGGGTAAGGAAATGACTGGTGTGTGTGTGTGTGTGAGAGAGAGAGAGAGTGAGAGAGAGAGCGCGGGGAGTATGTTTGTCTGTGTGAGAACGTCCGTGTGTTTGTGTTTGTGTGCGTGTGCTTTTACGTTTTCTGTATGTGAGAGGGTGTGAGCGTGTGTGAGAGAGATCGTGTGTTTGTGTGTGAGATGTTGTGTGTGTGCTTTTACGTTTGTTTTGTTTTGTGTGTGTATGTGTGTGTGTTTGTGAGAAAGAGAGAGAGTATGTGTGAGAAAGAACGTGCGTGACGTTTGTGGTTGGCTGCTTTCACCTGTATGTGTGTCTGCGTTCGTTTGTTTTATCTGTGTGAGTTTATGTGTATTGTGTGTGAGTACAACCCATGAATTGTATATGGTACGAAGTCGCCTTATATAGTCCCTAATGCTGAAGGCAATACACATGGACATGCCTGTTTTAAGAATACGGATCGTTATTTTCATGAAGTAAAAGTACATCTTCCATCGTCATTGTGCAAAGACATTCCCATTGCTTCAGACTTCTTAAATGAATACACATGGGAATTAATTAAGCACCCACCCCCAACTGTAGAACAGAAAGGTTTCAGAACTCTCATACTTCTAGAAGGGCAGTAATGCCTGATTATCTGATGGAAGATTGAATAATTGATCAAAGAAAAACAACAAAATGTATGCAATATGTTAATTTGTATGCTCTGTTCGTGAGAAATGCCAACACTGTTGATATTGCCCTGGCGCGCCACATTATGAGATATTCCCGGATCTCGCTGTGTGTTTTGACATCAGTATCTCGTGTATCTATGATGTGTCTGGATGACACTCTCCACCGTTTGCCTCATGCCACACGCGAACCTGCGGATACGTTCCTGAGGCAATTGCCGCCACTCCTCACGCTCTTCTAGCCCGCTGACATCGCTTTCGTTTCGGTAGTGATTCTGTTGCTCGCCATACAAAGTTGCGTCCCTTCAAACCCGATTATGATCCGACCCGTGAAGATCCGGGTTAGAATTGATCTTCAGCAACCCATGCTTGTCGTAAGAGGCGACTAACGGGATCGGGTGGTCAGGCTCGTTGACTTGGGTGACACGTCATCGTATCCCAATTGCGTAGATCGAAGCTCATGTTGTTGATCACTGGATTGTCTGGTCCAGACTCGATTATTTACTGACCGCTGCCATGTAACTGGAATATTGCTGAGTGCGACGTTAAACAACAAACCAACCAACCAACGATTATAGTCCGTGGTTTCTCTCCGCTGTACCCGGCTTTGATAAATGTCTGTGACACGCTTCATCGTTGGATCTCTTCTCACACTGGGCGGTGGGGTAGCCTAGTGGTTAAAGCGTTGGCTCGTCACGCCGAAGACCCGGGTTCGAATCCCCACATAGGTACAATGTGTGAAGCCCATTTCTGGTGTCCCCCCGCCGTGATGTTGCTTGAATATTGCTAAAAGCGGCGTAAAACTAAATTCAGTCAGTCAGTCTTCTCATACTGACCTAAAAGAAATGGTGATCAATGCGGCGTTAAAGCCAGTCTACTCAGTCACTCCATATATTTGTATTAGTGCGTTAACCCGTGAAGGTCCGGGTTCGAAAGAACCCTCAGTAACCCATGCTTGTCGTAAGTGGCGACTAACGGGATCGGGTGGTCAGGCTCGATGACTTGGTTGACACATGTCATCGGTTCCCAATTGCGCAGATCGATGCTCATACTGTTGATCACTGGATTTTCTGGTCCAGACTCGATTATTTACAGACCGCCCCCAGCTGGAATATTGCTGAATGCGGCGTAAAACTAAACTCACTCACTATTAGTGCGTTATAATTACGTGAAATAAAACGACTGCTTTATAAAATGTTTCACCAATGAAATTTTAGCGACACTCATGCATATGTATGAACCAAATCATGATCACCTTCATGAATATGGATGAATTTCTATACAAGGTAAAGCGTTCTGGTACAAATCACACAACTGACAGATTGTACGCCATTGCAGGTATCATCTCGAAGCTGGACTACTTCCAGTATCTCAACGTCAAGGCGATATGGCTCAGTCCATTCTACAGGTCTCCCATGAAGGACTTCGGATACGACATCTCCAACCACACCGACGTCGACCCCATCTTCGGGACATTGAAGGACTTTGACGATTTAGTTACAGAAAGCCATCGCAGAGGTTCTTAAGTATTTTGTAGAATGTGAAAATATTTAATAACTGCAACTTTTTATCCAAAAAGCATGGATGGTACACTATTTCATCTAAACCAACATGGATGGGTTTTTAACGGCTTCACAAAACAGACAAAACCTGACTACCGTTTTTGTAGTAATCTGTAGTTTCCAAGTTCTTCGTAAATGTATTTGAAAATGAAATATGTGATCCAAACAATGAATGATAGTTCATGGTTCTTCACAACAAAACGTAATAAGATTTTTGTTTTAGTCATGGGAATTTTCCTTTTAAAGATTTATCATCATATGCCGATTTCGTATGAAATTACTTTATAAGGCTCCTTCGTACAAATCAACAAATGAAACGTAACATGATATGAAACGTAACATGTCGAACTTTGATCATCTCAACGACCTTAATTATGCGGCACTGCAACCATTGCATAATCGGTTTAACAGTGGGATTTGTTGTACAATCTGACAATTTATATAAACATTATTTTCTTAAAAACTTAATTTTTAATGAGAAACCTGAATACAATGACTCATTCTCGATCTCCTGAATGAGGGGCGATGAAATAGGCTAGTAGTTCAGGCGTTCGCTCGTCACGCCAAAGACCAGGGTTCGATTCCCTACGTGGGTACAATGCGTGAAGCCAATCTTTGATACTATTGGATTAATGATCAAAAGGGCGTAAAACTTACCTCACTCTCTCAGTCACTCACTCACTCAAATCGCACTTGCAGACATCAAAGTGATTATCGACTTCGTCCCCAACCACATGAGCGACCAGCATCCGTGGTTCCAGGAGAGCCTGAAGGGGACGGGGAAGTACAGGGACTACTTTATGTGGAGCGACGGCAAGTCATCATTTGGAAGGAAGAAACCACCGAATAACTGGGTAAAGTGACGGCTCGAACACGAGCGCATTAACCACCTTTTCATTTCCACCACAAGCTGACTCTCGGTGACATAACTGAAACACTATTCATAGCAGAGTCAAATCTTACTCATCCTCACAGGTGGTATATACCGTGTAACTTTATCATTAAATGTTCATATACAGAAAAACAATATTACCTTGGTAATGTTTCTAACATTTTTCGCTTCATGGTACATGCAGAAAGGTAAGTATGTTTGTGCCCGGTTCACGGCTGGCCAAAGAGGCGCCGCGAGTTGCTGTGCAGAGTTACATCCCTTGGTGTCGACAGGAACCTATGATTGTGATTTCAAATCCGGGTTCGCACCAACTATTTCTCTAGGTTTGTGAGCAAGTGATCAGAGTTCATGGGCTTCACCAATATGGTGAACGTATCTTACCTGCATCAGCTCACCTGCTTCCTTTGACCTCCGATAACAGGAATACTGTTTAAAGCCCTTCATTCTTTCTTTTTGTCCCAATTCGTAAAGCTATCCGATCGCTTCGAAATCGATACGAATGAGATTCGATAGCCATGTGCAAAACCGTTTTTCAACAGGACATTTGTAAGCTCATCTTCCACTGCCGTAATGAATGTGAAAAATGATATACTTTTCTGAAACAAACCCAGAACATCGTGCTCTGAAGAAAACGTTGTTTGAGTCGAAAAAACATGAAAAATATACTTCTTCTTCCTGTTATTTTACCTTGGTAACTTGGGCACAGTGTAAAATCTTCTTTGTTGTGTTTTGTTTGACATTTCTATCTTCTAGCTGGGCGTGTTTAGTGGGGAGTGCTGGCGATGGAACGAACAGCGGAAGCAGTATTACTACCACGCTTTTGTGAAGGAACAGCCTGACTTAAACTACAGAAACCCGGATGTAGTCAAAGACATGAACGTAAGTGCCACACAGCTCCTCATCATTATTTCCTTTGTTTTAAGCTTTCCTATTTCGGCGGCAGCGGTTGGGAGTGGAGTAAGACAAGGAAACAGTACTTTTACCATGCTTTTATCAAGGAACAGCCGGACCTGAACTATAGAAATCGAGACGTTGTGAATGATATGAACGTGAGTTATATGTTTGACGGGTAGTTCCACCTAGGTAATAAAAACTTCAACAGTACGATATATCGAGTTAAAGAGTGAGTAAGTAAGTAAGTAATGGAGTTACGCCGCTTTTAGCAATGTTCCAGCAATATCACGGCGGGGACACCAGAAATGGGCTTCATGCATTGTACCCATGTGGGAAATGGAACCCAGGTCTTAGGCGTGACGAGCGAACGCTTAATCCACTAGGCTACCTCACCGCTCCTCGAGTTAAAGAATATATATTATGTATTGTTATTTGGTTACACAGAAGGAGTTTGATAAATATTTGTGTTATACATACTTTGATTACTGTATCAAAACTATCTACACTTTTCAACCTATATTGATGAATGACCCTACCTGTATCTATGTATCATTATAATTCCATATGGAAATAAACATAAAAATGTTATCTGATTGTATCATTATTTATAAAATGACTACCAAATAGTATTGAGTAATTTTCAGGCGGTAATTAATGCAGGCGGTTGATATGACTTGAACCTTATGACTGACCAATCAGAATCGAATATTTTCCAAATCCATGGTTTAATCGATCATTTATTATATTTTGCCCTATATATCGACACCGTCCTCAAAATGTATAAATTTAGAAACTCCTGTTAAACAAGGTCTTCGGCTTGCTGATATTCTCCTGCTATAGTCAACTAAATTATTTTCGCTTCGTGAGAAAGAAACCTGCACGTCTAACTACTTGACCAACTGTTACAGGACGTGCTCCGGTTCTGGATGGAGAGGGGAGTCGATGGTATCCGGGTGGACGCCATCATGAAACTGTTCGAATCCGAGAATATATTCCAGGACGAACCTAGGAGCAACCGTCCTGGAGTACCTGCCGTACGTACTTTAGTTAATTCCACGAGCACGGATGTAGTGCTGACAAAAATATAAGCAGAATCAGGTCGAAACTGTATTCAAACCCACGATCATAGTTTTCTACCGTGCCCAAGGGGCGTAACTCTGCATAGTAAATGGCGGCGCCTTCAGCAACCCATGCTTGTCGTAAGAGGCGACTAACGGGATCGGGTGGTCAGGCTCGCTGACCTGCTTGACACCTGTAATCGTATCCGTAGATACGATGCTCATGATGTTGATCACGAGTTATCTGGTCCAGACTCTATTGTTTCCCGCTACATAGTTGGGATACTGCTAAGCGCGGGTTAAACAACAAACAAACTCTCAGCCACAGGCACACCTGTCCCAGACATTATTTAATGACTGCTGCAAAATAGCTGGAATATGTCAATCTGGGAATACAAGATTCACACAATGAATACGTATTCTTAAGTTACGACGATACTGTGTCAATCATTTCCTGTTTGATGTGGTTATTGTGAACAGTTCCAGTACGAGTATCTGACACACATTCACACTGAGAACCTACCAGAGATCGGGGACGTTGTCAGGGGATGGAGGAAGGTCATGGACGAATATGAGGCCAAGGACGGTCAGTCAAGGTCAGATGATCAAGATCATACATATTCAATATTTAAAATTACAGAACCCTGTTTTACTTTATATCTGTTTGGTATTTTGTCAAGAATCATCGCCAGCATGCCCTTTTCAGATTATGACGTGCCTCTTGCTATGAAGAAACCCACTCTTTCTGAATTCTAGGGGAAACGCGTAATGACAATGCCAAATGGACATGCCCGATCAGATTGATATATGTTGTTATAGAGGGATTTGGGGTGAAGTTAACCAAACCAATGGCAGCCACAGGTAGTTCAAGCCGAGAATCATTATCAGCGTTTAAAAAAAATGATATACATGTAATTAATTAATTGGGATATTAGCTGTTCGTGGAAAGGTGTGCCTCTCCTGCAATGCCTGCGCCACCAAAAACACAAGCAAAGCCAAGTCAACTGTCAACAGAAAAGAAATCATGGGAACATTTGTTCAAAACAGCGAACTGAATCAGATTCATCAGACATCATTTTACCTGCTGTCACACCAATTTCTCTTGCAGGTTTATGGTGGTTGAGCTGTATGATCCCCGGCCATTAGGAACAAGTACTACGACTATGGCGCCATGCCCTTCAACTTTGACCTTGCAGAGGGTCTCAAGGCCAATTGCGGAGGAAACTGCTTCAGGGAGGCTATCAGCAACGAATACGACAATCTGCCTGCAGGCACATGGCCCAAGTTTGTGGTAAGTTTGAAGTGTGATCGATATGATGTGGTCAATTATTTAAAGAACATCATTATCTGGTTCCTGGGGAAACTGCTTGCGAAGCGCCGGCGCAGCATACCCTGGAAACCAGACACCGAACGTATACTGCTGGATATAAAGATGACTGCATTCATGTATCACGTCTGACGAAATGACGAACTGATTTCATAGAATTTAGAAATTGATGAATAATTACTATTTGATCAAAAATCAAAATTATAATAATTGTAAGTGCTTATCAGAAACAATCGATTTTCAGGATGTATAACGTATGTGTTATGGGGCCGCTATTGGTCAGGGTACAGTTACACACAGCGATCTTAGCGCTAAGGTGATCGTAACTCCCATGCCTTATAATGAAGTTACGACAGTCGTAGCGCTAAGGCTGCTTTGTACAACTGCCCCATGGCCAATAGCGGTCCGAGTAAAAGTAGTTTGTAATATCGTGATCAGCAATACTATTTATAGAGAACATTACAAAACGTTACCAAACGCACGACTTCCGTCAAAGAAATCTACTGTGGTATCAGGAACCATTAATAAGATAAGCTTCAAATATATCCGACATCGGATTGGTGTGATGTCCCATTCCAAGTGATTCCAAGAATGACGAAACATTGTTCCTGAATGAAAATGAGACATAGAATATTCATGAAATGATATTACAGTTACAATTACTGAATTACTGTGTTTTCCTGCCTCTGCGGTAACTATAGCTCGGTAACCACGACCGTAAGCGGGTGTCCAAACGCTTTGGCGCGGAGTACGTCAACGTCTTGAACATGCTTCTGCTGACGCTGAAGGGAACGCCCACCACCTACTACGGGGAGGAACTGGGCATGGAGGAGATTGAGGTCAGCTTTGAGGACACACAAGATCCTTGGGGCATTAACTTTGGAAAGGTACAGTACAAGCTGTGAGTGAGGGAGTGAGTGTAGTTTTACGCCGCTTCGAACAATGTTCCAGTTGTAGCAGCTTTACGTTGGAGAAAATCTCGAAGTTTGCAAGTCTTAGACGTTTACCATGTTTTACTCACGAGCATGGTTATGGTGCTTCCAAACCTAGACACGTAATCGGGGCGAACTGGGATTCGAACCCACGATCATCATATTTCTGGCGTGCCTAAAGGATGCAACTTTGGACAGCTATGTGGCGCCTTAGACAAACTGATTCCCTCGTTCGTCCCGAATCAATGAATGAGAGGTATTGAGATGCATGCGTGTGTGTGTGTAAGTGGATCATTGTTCAATGGATAGTGTTTTAGCCAGTTGCATATTAAACCTGTACCATTATACCTGTGTGTGGAATCGAGCCGGTTTTCCTGGTTTTAAAAGTGTAAACCATAAGACTACCCAAGCATAACTTGGCGTTCAGTGACAAAATGTGTCCTCACACAGGTAGTTGTCAACGTAATTTACTAGCTTTCGAAGACTATACCTAACTGCAATTTATGTATCTTGACACTTGACATTTGCGAGAACATTTATATTGTCTAATAAGTGTTCTATACTACAAACAGAATTACCAGTCCAAATGATAGCACTAACGCAGTTAACATGACTAATTTAGGCTGTAGACTGACATTTAAAATTTGAGATTCACCCAAGTTTAAAGATGTAAAAATATTGTTTTGAAATGTGATAGACAGACGTGACATAGCAAAAGTATATTCAGACACTGATGTCATGCATATAAAGTGCCAATCTGTGTTTAACGCAGAAAAGTCTCTGTAGGCATGACATTTTTAACGACTTTTTCAGGAGCGGTATACTGAGTTCTCCCGGGATCCCTGTCGCTCCCCCCTCCAGTGGGACGCCTTCAGTCAGTCGGGGTTCACAACCTCCTCCAAACCATGGCTGCCAGTCCACCCGGGTTACAAGACATGCAACGTGCAGGTAAGACAGACTTTGCGATTAACACCGTATAGAGATGAACCTCCCAAATCCCGACCCTTTCTGTAGAACGGTCACAATTCGGATATCGTTAGAACGTCTTTATTGGTAACTCAATGTTCACTAGTCCAGACACGTCTGGATCTGAAGCATTTCTACTAATCTGACCGACTGGATGACCGAGTCTCGATATAGCGGTACTACATACCTGCGCCATATTTTGTATGCTAATTGATATTTGTCTTTCTCTACCACGAGTTCAACAGGTTGTTTTGTAACGTATTATATAGACCACAGGACAGAGAACATATCTAGTTATTTTATCATTTTGTACGGCCTTACTTTTCTCTATCACTATTTGCTAAAAACATTTTTGAGCAAAACAACTTTTCAATTTCGCTATGAACGTCGATGCAAACCAGTTCCAAGCTGAACAAAAGCAATGTTTGATCCGTTTCAATGGATTTTGGTCTATATTTGAAATATACAAATCACTAATTCGTTTACCTAGAAACACATGGTTTTCCAAGTATGCCTTCACGAATGCAGAGATTTGCATGTTATAACACTGCAATTATCTGCTCTTCCTCTTCATCTTCCAGGTACAAAAGAACAAGAAAGATTCATCTTTGAATATTTACAAATCCTTAGCAACGTTGCGAGAAGCGACTGCCTTTCAAGATCCTGATGTCCAGTTTGCCGTTGTCAACGATGAAATTTTATCCTATGTGCGAGGTACGGCCAACACTGGCCGATATCTCGTTACGATGAACCTCGGACACGATTCGTCGACAGCAGATTACACCAAGGACCCCGTCAGTGCCAAAAACGGCCGCGTTGTCGTAAACACGGGGAACTTTAATGAATCGAAATTTAACGTTGGGAAAAGTCTGTCATTATCTAGTTTAACTTTGAAACCTGGACAAGGTTTAGTCCTTAAGTTATAAGATATGCAGGAATCCTGTTCCGCAAAATTGTATGGCAGTGCTATGCCTCTTTTAGTATGGTTCTACTTACCTCAGCTCATAAGCCAACTTCTACCAACAATCAACATGGCTATTTTATAACAGGTAATCAATGCACTTTAAATAATATAACACAACTTAAACAACTTAAAACCAATTTGAACAACTGAACCACTGGGTTAAAAATGAGTTTTTAAAATATTGTTGTTTTTCATTTGAATTTCATTAATAATAATAATATGCTCGCCTTTTCAAAGGATGTATAAATCATGTCAATGACACTTGGTTACCTGGGTCTTCACGAGTTGTCTTGGCATTCCCACTGTTTAACCTGTGACAAGGCCACTCTGATTACATACATTGACCCTCTATACTTAGCACCAGCGTCTGAAAAATAACTGGTAGTTTCGACTCGATTATTTACATACCGCCGCCATGTGGCTGGAATATTGCTAAATTGTGCTACACTCACTCACTCATTATGATAATGATGATTATCTTTATTATGATTCACTTGTATTTTTTTAGGAACATCACTAATGGTGATGGTTTTTGTTACTGCAGTTAATCTGTCATGCCACGAAATCATTATGATAAAATCCCCATGATACAGTCACTGTGTTTTAACTTGCGGTGTATTCCCGTCTTTTCCTGAACAGGGTCAGTGTTTAACGTGTAAGAAAGGTATATAAACATTTTATTTATATCGATGTTAAAACAGAGAGAGAGAGAGAGAGAGAGAGAGAGAGAGAGAGAGAGTAGAGAGAGTTCTCGAAGATGCTGGAGAGAGAGAGAGAGAGAGAGAGAGAGAGCCATTTCTAAAGTGGTCGTAAGACACGCACATTAACCAAAGATATTGTCATAGAAACGATATCAGGATAGCTTCTGAAAACTCTAATCATCCAGACTGTTATTCGCCACAAATACCTTTGTAATATTGAATTGTATACTACGCCTGTTCCATATATTGGAGTGTTGCTATGGAAAAGCAGGGTATTCTTGCGGATAGCAATCTTAGCTCTACGACGATTGAACTCTAACACAGACTTAAGATAGTTCTAGCGCCGTGGTGTTATCATCCGTGAAGATCCCGGTTTGAATTGATCTTTAGCAGCCAGTGCTTGTCGTAAGAGGCGACTAATTGGATCGGGTGGAGAGGATCACTGGCTTGGTTTGATGATGTCTTCTCATCCCAACTGCGTAGCATCGATCTACGCAATCGATTGATCAGTCGCCAAAAAGCTGGACCATTGTCGAGTGCGGCGTTAAACAACAAGCAAAGAGAACCAGGTGTTATCACTGGTTGTCATCTAATGTCAAGGTCATCTATGGCCGACAAGTGAGTACGATTGCCGATGATTTTGGAGAAAATGCCTGCTTACTGTCGAGGAAATGATATGTAGATGTTGCAATCAGTTTTTAGACCCGTGGAATATGGCCGCCGGTCGAGTCTAGCGCAACATAGGTGCTGTCAACGTGGTTGGAATTAATAAACGAATTTAAAAGGTGAGTTTTCGCTGTCTTGGCTGATCCATGATTTTGGCTTGGAATTGTGGAGGTAGCTGTTTTCGGTGAGTTGTGGCGTATAACTTTTGAAATAATTATCCGATTGTGACCATTTATAGCTCATTTTGTAGGGAAATCATCTAGCTTTCCATCCGTAGGCCTCGACGGGGCCTTCGAAATAGTTTACGTGGTGAAATCTAACTTTGATCGAGGAGAGGGTGGTTCCGTCGTTACATCCCTTTCCTTTTATATAGTACTAGGGTAGGGTCTATATACCTATATGTCTTTCTAACGCTGTTTCTAAGCGAGACACGCCCCTCTGGTTGTGAGTGGAAGCAATGGCCAGTAAAAGTGATGACTTGAGTTGACGGCTCCTGACAGTATTCCCACGGGACGTCTATGAAGGTGAAACAGTCGTCGTTTTTCTAGTGCAGTATGATGCTGAATGATCTGTGCTGAGCGATATGTGGACATCATATACTGCTCGAAGATTGCTGGAGTTTGTTGACCAAAGACATGTGGCCCAACTGCAAAAAAGATGGTTGAAGTCATTTTGCATATAGTTCCCCAAATATTATTTTACCTTCCACCCAGCCTTCACTGTAATACAGACAACCTAATGAAGCAAGTCTAGATTTTCCAACCTCACTGGGGCTCCTTCAATTTATATGAAATTCTTTGTTTATATGAACAAAGCATTAGTCGACCTGCCATACATCTTTCAAGTGATAAGTATTCGATTATCAAACAAGTTTCCCATTAAAATTATATTTTGATATATTTTATATTTGGGGTTTTACTTTCGCAATGTCACATGTTGGATTTGGGGTAACGCTATAACACGTGACCGGGCATTTAGTTTTTGTTTGCACACAAACGCGCTTATTCTGCAGTCAGAACAAACTGGCACACAGATTTTAGATGCGCTTCACTCATTATTTTGCACAAATATACTACAAAAATTCCAAACTTTACTTAAACATAGATATAGAATTTATCCATATATCCATTTAAAACTGGATAAATAATGATATGGTAACCCTTCTTTAGGCAAAAAGCCACTTTAATCTAACATTATGCACTTGATACATGAGTAACCATTAAAATGTTTTTCATGGCACCAATCAACCATTTTGCAAATCCTTGAACGAGTCATTGACAAGTACACAACACCTGTCAATAGCAGGTATGGGATCCCCAAGATGAAATGACATACTGAAACCTAGGATCCAACGGCCAGGCAGCATCACAGAAAAATCGTCAAAAGACATCATAGTTTTCATTTAAATCAATACAGTGATCCTAGCAAAATGTCAATATAGACATCCTACTGTTACAGTTAGATGCATGAATCCTCATTGTACTTAAAGCAGAATATACTACCTATGTGACTGTCAAACAGAGTGAACACGATTACATCGTACAATGTGAAGCATATACCGTTTTTACTGATATTAAGCGCCCGGCTTCAAACCGCCGGGTTATGAAGCAGTTAAATAGGCAGCATGCAACCCTCTAATAGGCGCCGGATATCGACCTCCGGACTGCATTTTTTGTCCTAAGCGAACAGGATCTGATGGTCAGGCCGCTGACTTGGTTGACTAATGTCATGAATCCCTTTGCGTAGATCCGATGCCTCTTTTGATCAAGATTATCTGGTCTAAACTCAATTATTTACAATCGCGCGATATAGCCTCTTAAACTACACATGCCGGAGATCTATGAGGTGTAACGTTGAAAATTATAGCGCCAGAGGCTTCAAATACAAGGAAATACTATATATGGTACCTATGTGAGTAAAAAAATGCACTGTGAAAAACCTATACGATGATAACGAACTGCACTGTGTCATATGGCGTCCTCCTGAAACTCTGGCCATGAGGATCGGTTTTTACTTGACGGCGATTTTCAATAGATTCTATTACTAGCATATATAGGGTAGGTTTTTAAAGACACGGCGGGGCATTAAGTTATAGTGAGTGAGTGAGTATGGTTTTACGCCGCTTTTAGCAATATCACGGCGAGGGACACCAGGAATGGGCTTCAGACATTGGGAATCGAACCCGGGCATTTGGCGTGACGAGCTAACGCTTTAACCACAGAGCAACCCCGCATTCAGCTATAGATTCTAAAACGACGAATACACCACATAGCTGGGCTATTGCTTAGTGCGGCGTTAAACATCAAACAAACAAACAGAAGGACAAATAGAAATGGTGGGCCGGATGAGGTAAGGCTCTGACAACAGGGATCTCACACAGCACAATACATCAATAACATAAGCCAAGAGATGAAGCAAAATATTTCAAAAGTTACATTTACGGCATGTTTAATATTAATTTAAACTGTAACCATGGTAACCGACATATATTCCTTTAAAAATAACCGAAACAGATTTGTCAGGCTTGCTGACGTGAGTGGTGCATATCATCATATCTCAAATGAATGGATCGATGCTCATGATGTCAATCACTGGATTTTCTGGTTCAAAGTCGACTATTTACAGATCGCCGTCATGTAGTTGGAATATATATCGTCCTGAAAGTCACAAACAATTTTAAGTCAGATCAGTGGAATGAAAGCATGACATCGATCCTTGAAGTGTCTTTTGTTTATATTGTTCATCTGAGTGTGTAACTAAGCTCAGATAACAGGCAAAGCATTAGAAGAGAACTGGGCCATACCTTTAGTTTTGAAATGAAGGCGTTGAATAATACGTGGTATGAATGTCAACATGCGTTCGCGCAGTGAAACACTATCACCAGTTTTGCGCTTTCACGCAAAAAGAGAACAAGGGAACTAACTGCTTTGGAAATGAATTCGAAAGTTGGAAAGTACAAGAAGTCTAAAAATACAGCTGCTTTCTCTAAAGACGACGTGGTGGAACCAGAAAGATGTTGCGGAGTTCTACTTTCTCTTCAACAAATTCTGGTGATCAGTAACAGATCGAAGATAGCGTTTGTCGATGACAAAATGCTGATGTTACGTGTTGTACCAGAGAGCGGCTGAGTTCAACGTGTATGTAAGTATAGGTGTCATTTTTGATAAAACAATCAGAATCTGCTCAGATAGTGAGAGCAAAACCCCAGCCGGCGTAGTAACTACTTATCGAAATGTCTCATTAAAATCGATACCGCTGTCTAGACAGGGCATTTAGCCTCTGTATGTTACAGTACAGTAGATTACGCAACTAAAACTACAGATACATCAAATATCATACGCAAAGTAATCAATTAGTAAAAAGGTTCATGTTTCTCATAATTCTGGAAAAATCCCCTGTAACTGTTCTAGTGAAAAACTACATTTGTTAGCCCCAGTGACAGTGTTCCATCCTTATCATGGAGGCTGAGATTGACAGGGATTAGGATTGGGGTTGTGGTGAGGTGGGTGTGTCAAGCTTGTCCAAGTACATGATGCAGATCGACTCAGTTATGGCCAACATTATCAGTCATTTAGAAGTTAGAGCAGTAATGGAGGATAACAATATATAAAAGGATGGACAAGGTCTTTATTACAATGAGAACGACATTTCGGTGTTAAGGTTCCAACATCATAAATATCACTTGCATGACAAACATCCTCCCTGTGTAGGGGAACGGTTCTCAAAGCGGGGTGGGGGTTGGGGAATTATCAAAAGTATTGAAAATGAAAATGAAACTGTAGTTATGGTAAGGTAGATGTGCTTTGGAATTGAAAAAGGTGGGGCCCCCCCCCCCCCTTCCTACGCCCCTGATGTGACTCAGTGCATGAAAAGGGAGTTAGAACCTACACCGAAACGCTGCTCTCACTGTAATAAAGAAGTTGTTCATCCATATACATGTATTGTCATTTTCCTTAAGGGTTGGTGGGGTAGCCTAGTGGTTAAAGCGTTGACTCGTCACGCCGAAGACCTGGGTTCGATTCCCCACATGGGTACAATATGTGAAGCCCATTTTTGGTGTACCCCGCCGTGATATTGCTGGAATATTGCTAAAAGGGGCATAAAACTCAACTCACTCACTATTATTCCTTACGTTATAGTTGACTCAAGCATTTGATGTTAGTCACTAATTGCTTACAGTAACATAAGCATATCCAGTATCCAAGTAATGTCACCTAACAAGCAATATATAGGATATTATGTGCCATAGATATGATTAATATCCATTGCATGGTT